TTATTTCCCGAATCTCGCCTGAAATTAGCTCATCTTGGTGACTGTAACCTGTATATCTGTATTAATAGAGTCTCTTTGTATCGCATCTGCCTCAATTTTAAAGTTTTATTGGTATTTTTAATATGATTTCACTGTTTTTGTGGACTGGTACGATTGGGCCAAGCTAATGGCAGCTGACCTGTTCAAAGTACTTTTAGTACTAATTATTACAAATGACAATAATTTTGGAAACAATATTGTACTAAATAGATTACTAAGCATCTAAGGTAAATAAAACTAGATGAACAACTGAGTCAATAGTGATAAATAGGCCAACACAAGTTGGCAGAATTGAAATAGACTGCCATCTTGTTTCCAGTTTTCTTTATAATCTATGCTCCATCTTTCGCCAGAAACTTACTTGACGTCCATGGAAAAATATTATGTTTTTAAAGTGTTCCTTGTGAGCAGATCTTCTTTACAGAATGGTGTTCTATCAGACAGGTTTTAGTGTATTTCTTTGTCAATAAAAGAGAATATTGATAACCTATTATGATAGAACGAATTGTAGTTTTAAATATACCAATATATTTTACATGTAGTTTGAAATCATTACTTTGCAGAATATTTTAAGAACTATATTTTTAAAATAAAATTGTTATTCACAAAATCAATAATTTTTGAATTGATCAATAAGACAAGTTAGTAATTTTTTAACCTTTGTAAACAAGTGAGACAGATTAACTCAGTACTCATCTTTCAAATGTATTAGAACTTTGGGATAAATTGCCTCATTAATTTCACTTAACAAACAGGCTTTGACCCCCTGTTTGCACAGGAATATGAACTTAAGTGTTATTTTATGTGTGACTAGTTGTCTACTGTTTCTATATCATCTTCTAATGCCATACTCTTGTGGAATGGGCAATTAATACTCACATTTGGAATTACAATATAACAATATTTATGAAGAATTGAAGGTACATACAGGTTAAACAATCTGTTGACTATTTTGGCTGATTTTGCATCTTAGCCTTATATTTCAAGATAAGTTTATTTAAATCCAAAAATTTTCAATCAGCTACCTTGCTTGAAATCATAAAACTACCTTATTTTAATACAAGTTTCAAAAAATAATGTCATGTTGCATTGGTTTGCAGGCGTCGTATTTTAAAAGGTTAACAATAATGTTTTATGCACTTTCACATTTGAGCCCAGCCCAGTACCCATGGTGCTACATGCATTTATTTATTGGCCCCCTGAATCAGTAATCTAGAAAAGTCAAAATGAAAATGTTAAGAGAATTAAGTTTTACAATACGCCAGCTTATAAGAATATAGTGGCAACTGGAGCCTGGAATCTGACTGATACAATCTGTTCACTTCTCATGCTATAAGACTCCCTTTATATAAACTGCTTTTGTGGCTTTGCATCAACACAAAACATATATAATAGTGGCTACAATGGAATCTATCAGGGAGTCAAGTGAACTGCTGCAACAATACCTTACCTTTGCCAAGTATGTAACGATGTCAGCCATGTACTCTTTGTAACAATACCTTACCTTTGCCAAGTATGTAACAATGTCAGCCATGTACTCTTTGTAACAATACCTAACCTTTGCCAAGTATGTAACGATGTCAGCCATGCACTCTTTGTAACAATACCTTACCTTTGCCAAGTATGTAACGATGTCAGCCATGTACTCTTTGTAACAATACCTTACCTTTGCCAAGTATGTAACGATGTCAGCCATGTACTCTTTGTAACAATACCTTACCTTTGCCAAGTATGTAACGATGTCAGCCATGCACTCTTTGTAACAATACCTTACCTTTGCCAAGTATGTAACGATGTCAGCCATGTACTCTTTGTAACAATACCTTACCTTTGCCAAGTATGTACCGATGTCAGCCATGTACTCTTTGTAACAATACCTTACCTTTGCCAAGTATGTAACGATGTCAGCCATGTACTCTTTGTAACAATACCTTACCTTTGCCAAGTATGTAACGATGTCAGCCATGTATTACTCTTTGTAGCTGTTGCCTACAGAGAGGTTTTAGGTTTATGCCAAACCATTAAAGGACATTGCTGATTTGAAGATTTGATAATTTTAGATGATGAATTACTGTGTGATGTGTCCAGAGATGTTGCTTGGAACTGATATTCAACTTTCATCAACCTCATTTCATAGCATTTATAAAAATTGTCATTATTGATGGTATCACAATTGACACCCATGGCATGACATGACATGACTCACAAAGGAGAATGATCACTGGTCATTTTTTTATAATGTGCAAGTTTGATCATGAAAGATTTACAGAAAAGCTAAACATGACACAAATACATTTTTATTATCTTTACAAAGAGGGTCCTTCATCATGTTAGTTTATGGAAAAATACAAGGACGTCAAGTAAGTTTCTGGCGAAAGCCGGAGCATAGATTATTTAAGAGGACTGGAAACAAGAATGACCTACCTTTTTATTTCCCGAATCTCGCCTGAAATTAGTCTCTTTGTATCGCATCTGCCTCAATTTTAAAGTTTTATTGGTATTTTTTTAATATGATTTCACTGTTTTTGTGGACTGGACGATTGGGCCAAGCAAATGGCAGCTGACCTGTTCAAAGTACTTTTAGTACTAATTATCACAAATGACAATAATTTTGGAAACAATATTATACTAAATAGATTACTAAGCATCTAAAGTAAATAAAACTAGATGAACAACTGAGTCAATAGTGATAAATAGGCCAACACAAGTTGGCAGAATTGAAATAGACTGCCATCTTGTTTCCAGTCCTCTTTATAATCTATGCTCCATCTTTCGCCAGAAACTTACTTGACGTCCGTGGAAAAATATTATGTTTTTTAATATAAAGTGTTCCTTGTGAGCAGATGTTCTTTACAGACAGGTTTTAGTGTACTTCTTTGTCAATAAAAGAGAATATTGATAACCTATTATGATAGAACGAATTGTAGTTTTAAATATACCAATATATTTTACATGTAGTTTGAAATCATTACTTTGCAGAATATTTTAAGAACTATATTTTTAAAATAAAATTGTTATTCACAAAATCAATAATTTTTGAATTGATCAATAAGACAAGTTAGTAATTTTTTAACCTTTGTAAACAAGTGAGACAGATTAACTCAGTACTCATCTTTCAAATGTATTAGAACTTTGGAATAAATTGCATCATTAATTTCCCTTAACAAACAGGCTTTGACCCCCTGTTTGCACAGGAATATGAACTTAAGTGTTATTTTATGTGTGACTAGTTGTCTACTGTTTCTATATCATCTTCTAATGCCATACTCTTGTGGAATGGGCAATTAATACTCACATTTGGAATTACAATATAACAAAAGAGCTTACAGAGAATGTAAGGCAACAAGATTTCAATCAGCTTTGTTGGGATTCTGTTTTCCCAGCCTCAAAATTAAATTTCTTGTAAGGAAGAAAGGCTAGTTAATTGATGATACTTTACACACTTGATTAGTTTTCATGGAAGCCCTGGGTCACATTATGGCTGGTGTTATTCAACTAATGGACATTAACAAGTGAAAACATCACTAAAAATACAAAGGTCCTTTAGATTCTATGACGTTATAACGCCCACAATGTTAAAATATTGAAATAAACGAGTTCGCTTGTATTTCAAAAGGAGGACTCCAAGTAAGAGCAATTAACAACTAAGACGGTAGCATTAAGAGTACAAAATGGATTGAAGAACATACAAATTGACCACCTATTAAATCATGTAGCATGGCGTAAATATAACTGTTGGTCAATATTCAAGTTGTAAGGAAAATCTGTGACCACTTTGTAGGATGTCTGAAGTGTTTTATTATCTCACCAAATGAAGTTTGTGTTAGGATATAGAGGAGCCGTCCATGCGTCTGTACATTCAGTCCTCAGAATGAAGTCAAAGGTCATCTCAGAATTCTGTATGACTAAATACTGTTTGATGGATGGATTCGTTTCTTTCAATTCAAAAAGTCACAAAATTTAAAATAACCATCATATTCATGAAAAACATGATATATTCGACTATGAACTGCAATAATCACACTGTCAAATTACATACACGTATTTAGAATGATTTCACTATGTTCCCTAGTGGCTAAATTGAATGAGACTATTTACTCAATAGGAATTCCAAACCATTTCTTCAAATTTATGGTGTGCTTCAGACAGATTTTTTTCAATGTGGTTCTGATTTAGATTGAAGCAAGCATCTTCATACTACAAGCCTAATGTGAACCAACATTAGTAATGGGTTTTATGTGGAAATGACTTATACCTCAGTCCTACACTCAAGAAAAACAGCTAAAATTTGTGTTTTATGGTGTGCTTGACAGATTTTTTTCAATGTGGTTCTGATTTAGATTGAAGCAAGCATCTTCATACTACCAGCCTAATGTGAACCAACATTAGTAATGGGTTTTATGTGGAAATGACTTATACCTCAGTCCTACACTCAAGAAAAACAGCTAAAATTTGTGTTTCAAGTGCAATTCCATAATCTTTATAAAACTATCAAAACCGTGTAACATTTTTCCCATATAATTTCTAATAACAGATGTCTTTCACTTTCTGCAATAGAATGAGAGGACATACAATTTGACATTCGTGTTTTGTGATTCTAGGTCCCAGTAGTAAACTATTGTTAATTATGCTAATAGGCTAAAATGTTTTCTTCAAAGATTAGAATTCAGAATGGAATCACAGATAATTTCTATTGGCCTTATGATTTCCATTTAGTTTAATAGTAAGCAGCCCAATATTAGAAAATTATACCCTTGTAAGAAACACTATATATTGAAAATTATACCCTTGTAAGAAACCCTATATATTGAAAATTATACCCTTGTAAGAAACCCTATATATTGAAAATTATACCCTTGTAAGAAACCCTATATATATGGAAAATAATACCCTTGTAAGAAACCCTATTTATTGAAAATTATACCCTTGTAAAGATCTTAATTGTTTGTTTTTATTTTTAGGGAAAGGCTTTTGGTCAAATGCTGCTTGATTTTGAAATCCACGATATGCCATCTATTGAGGAATTAACTAACTAAATCTGCAGTGCAAGAGGTAATGTCATCTATTGTTGAACACTCAGAACAACCATGGCAAAATCAGTTACAGCAGTTACAGTTACAGCGTCTGATATTAAAGAGTCATGACATATATAAACATTTCAATCAAAGCAACATACAACATGGTGTAAGCAACCCTCAAATCATAGGGCATGCAACATTTTGTATCAAGGTGCATGTAACCTTGAGCATCATTGCGCCGCAAGCAACCTTTCAAAAGCATTTAATAAGTACATAGTGCATGGTGCAGGCAGTATAATACAAGCAACATTTAGCAAGATTGTTACAGACAACATTTAGTAATGTGATGTCCATAATTGCAATAAAAGGTCCAATGGATGATGATTTGGATTATATATTTATACATGTATATTTCATGGAATTATGTTTGATCTTAATAGAATTTTATATAAAAAGTTAAGTTTTGATTATGGTCGATCTCAGGAAAAAGTATTACATGTATATATATTTCTACAAGCCAGGTCAGTGACATTTTTGGCCTGACCCCTTTTTGCTCTGAATTATGGTGGAAGACAATATAAAGAGAATGAGATTAAATGGCATCTTTATCCATCATGTATCATTACGACTGACGAAATACAATGGCTTAACAGTATAGTGAAGAATTGAATTGGACTGATGATTCAGAATTTTTGAAGAGTAACATTCCTAAAATATGAATATTTGAGGTAATGCTAAATTCATCAACTGGATTTTGATGACTTGTTAAGTTTGAATTACCAAATATATTTTATAAAATCATGTCAATTTTGTCAAGATTAATTTTAGACTCTATATCCTAAGGCATCAACATATATTTCTGTTTGCTGGTCTTGATTTATCAAAGATTACATTGTTACTAAAAAATTGTGGCCTTTTGAATTGAGTGGCCCTAGTGGAAGTTTATACTATGCAAACCCAACCCAATATCTTGGAGTTATTACCCATAATATGATATATACAGGAGAACAAATAGATAAAAGAATGGACAAAGAGCATCTCTCTTAGTCCCATCATGAAAAACTCTGTTTAAAGCATGTCCATTCCCTGTGGTGATGTTTTGTGCATCTCTAATGTTTATAATCAATGCTTTACGTAAATGGGGTATCACCCTTCCCAAACCAAATAAGATTGATAGCTCATCATTAATATCTCCTGAGTTCATACGGTCATGTAGCTATGTCTATTGTCTGAATAACACAACACCAATACAATGTATGTGATGTTTTAATTTACACAGTTTGAATAGTGATTTTTTGTTAAAATTTTCCTCTTCATAATTCACGATGATAAAGATTGATTCTTCACTATACTTCTTGTGCTCAAACAGAAGCATGCAATTTTGCCCTGCACCTATATAGGCTTTTTCTAACATAGTTACATTTGTGAAGGCAAACTTCTCGATGCAATTCAACACTTTATGATGTTAACAGAAGTTAGCTATGAAGTGAGAATGACAGTCTGATAAGATGATCTTTTTATTACTTCCATATTTCTGTAGTCTGCAAAGCCCAATTAATGAGATATTGCAAAGCATTGATCTCATGAAAAATAGCAATGACCAATTAAAATTATATTTAGGCTATGTATTGGGAATCAATTGAATGTGAAACATACACCAGGCCAATGAACAAGACCAAATAAACAAAGAGGTAAAAAAGCAGACTCAATTAAGCAAATAGACTTCCTGTCTACTTACAGTATTGAGGATAGATGGTGCTGATTGTAAAAGTATTACACAAGACGATATTGAATGAAAACCACTGATAGAGATTTTACATTTTGGCATGCCATCTCCTGATACCATGTGATCATTAATATCCAATCAAAATGCTTTGTTGCCACATAGTGATAGCATAGTGATCCAAAGCTAAACCAAGCTGTAGGAAGAGTTTATATTATCATATAGAAGGGAATTCTGTTGAAAATAAGCTTTGAACCGAGAGATATTCACGATTGATATGCACATTTTTGATTGTGCCATTGCTTTTCCATTGCACAATCCATGTATTGATAGAATTAACATTAATAATACAGATTGGTTTACCTTCAATACATGGCAGACACTACATATCGGTCTATTAAATACCAGTTTGTGCCTTAAATAGTTTTATATTTCCATACACGGCCTTGAGCCTGGGCGGGAGCCTGGGTGTGTTTGTCTCTTATGTGTATGCTTGTGCATGGACTTCTAATCACTAGCAGAATTTAACATGATGCAAACTCGACATTATAACTCATGCTGTAACATTTTGACTTCGCTGGAAAACAATAGGAATTATTTTTCTTGCCAATCAATCATGAATCACAATCAAAATTTCAGAATGATCAATCAGGCAATGGTCCAAATCAAGTTATAACATTGTATGATATTCAGCAAGAAGTCCGGTAGAAATACAGAATATTTAAACATCAAAGCTGAAAGTTAAAAGCTAATCTGTCAATTTTCTGTCTGCAAAAGAGCGTTTACATTTGACACAATAACAGACTGAGCCTTTTAAATCTAGGATTCCCCAGGAAAATATGACGTCATACTAATTAGCATAAGGATTTCCCTATTGGTCTGGGTCGAGCCTTGTTCAAAAACACAATCCATAAATACATGCTAATTTCTAAGGAGATAGGAAGTGTATAACGTGTTTATCGATTTTGTTTAAAGATTTAATCAATTATCAAATTGTTAAGTGGATAAAGTGGTCACACTTGCTTCAATTCATAGCGTAATCGACAGATAGAAACTGACCGAATTCCCGATATCCTACCCCGTATTACTGTGCTATTAAGCACAGTGACCTACAGAGGGCGCTATCACAAACAAGTACTGCACGAACCGATAAATTCCAGGGTATTGTAACGCCCTTGGGTTGACTTGCATGTTTGCAAACTTAGTACTGGTATCCTCACAAAATAAATTCATACAGTGCCTGGGTCACATTTGCTCCGTTTGCTCAATATTGTATTCAATTTTGGTATGCACTGCACATTCGCAAAAATAAGGAAAAACTATGACTTTGACCTAGATTTTTGACCTCTGCATTTTGGTGTCCAAATTTTAAAGCTAGATAGCCTTCGAGGTCCCCTTTCTTTTATAGGATTTCAGAATGTTAAGCTGTACTCAGTCTATATCCGGTATTTTATACATCAAGAAAATCTTTTTTCTCATTGACAAAACATGGGGCACCAAATTTAGCGATTTATTTTAGCTTTCAAAACGCTATAACTTCCCAACCGAGAGTCGGGTTGTAATTTGGTTTGCAGGTTCGGATTCCTGAGAAAATTCTACCCTTTAGTCATACCTCATACGTTAAATTTGGAGAACTTTTTATTTTGACCTACATTTCGGACACCATATCTCAAAAGTGGGTCAAAATACTTTCGGACGGCAAAAGGCTAACACTATTAGCACACTCTTTGCTACCTGTATACAAAATTTTTAAGCAAATTATTATAGTGTATTGTCAGAATCGTAAAAATAAGGAACCTATGAATTTGACCTAGCTTTTGACCTAGGCATTTTGGTGTCCAAATTTTGAAGCTATGTAGCTTTTGAGGTCCCCTTCTTTTATAGGAATTCATTATGTTAAGCTGTACTAAGTCTATATCTAGTATTTTACACTTCGAAAAAGTATTTTTTCCCATTGACTTAACATGGGCACCAAATTTAGCGATTTTTGAGATTTCAAAATGCTATAACTTCCGAACCGGAAGTCGGATCGGAATGTGGTTTGCAGATTTAGATTCCTGAGAAAATTTTACTCTTATTTCATGACTCATATGTTGAATTTGGAGAACTTTTTTGTTTGACCTACTTTATTGGCTTTCAATTAGAAGGGTATGTAACTCTGTGTAATAACATGAGACCTTCAAAATGAGCAATGCCATGCTTCCCTTTTATGGTAATATTTCAAAAAGTATTAGATAAATGTATATGTTTTTGTATTATTTTGAACAAAAATCAATTTTCAATAATATTATAGCATAAAATATATTCAATCTCATGTAAAGGTAAACAAAAGCGACCAATAAGAATAAGAGGTATCAAGATATTCTCTTCGAGTATTGCATTGTGGGTAATTATTCAAGAACACATTCCAATAACAATGTAATTTGTGGGAGAATGTTCACTTTCTGTATTCGTCATAATTGTGATGAATTCCATTTTTTATTAAATTATCAACATGTATGGAGATAATCATGTTTTTTATTTTTGAGTTATTTCTTTAAATCATCCATAAAAAGAACTAAATAAGATTTTCTTGGAATGTGTACATTCTCCTATTTTGAAAACCCAAAGGCATTGCTTATGTTTGAAATATAGGAAGTTGCCTAGACTTCTAGTTGAAAGCCCATGATTGGCTACACGTTGGAAAAAAATTTTTGAAAAAAATAGACTCCAGACTTTCAATCTTTCTACATTTTTTATAGATGGCGTATTCACCATGTGAGATATTTTGATTTTTCGCGGGGAGTTTTGATTCAAACTTTGTTCACTGACAGATGTCATACTTGGGTATGATGGCATTATAGTAAAACATATACATGGCCACAAATCTTACATTAATTTTATCTAAAAGACAGATCATTTGTTTAATACATGTATTATTTGGTTGTGTTATCCATCCCTAAGGTGTTTTTAAATTACTTTTATATGAATAGATGACGTGTTTGGTCGACAAATAGACTAACTATGGCAAGAGGAGGAATGCCCCAGAGCTTTAGAGATGACAGACATAATTACGTCTCTTACTAATTGCCACCTTCGTTTGTTAGAATTTTCACAAGCAAGTTTACGAATACAATGTTCAATTCCATTCTGATACTCATAGCATCTTTCTGTTCACCTGAAACATGCTCTGATATTATGAGGCATTCTGTGATCTGAGCACATCAGATGGGAAGAGTTATAACTGTCAATAAATATTTATGACCCCAATTAGATGAAATATGAGCTGGGATGAAAGATCTCAAAAATCCTCAATTTTGGGCTCTCCTGGATCGCCAAATCAAGCTCATTATATCATGGCATCTCAGGGCTGAGAAGATGTGAGATGGCATGGTTTATCATGATGGTTCAATTCGTTGTCATGTTTTAATCGATGTTAGCACATTCTTGTAAAACATCTTCATGTAACATAACAAGCTGTGATATTAATTAACATGCCAGATGTTAACATGATGTTATTTGAAGATGTTTAGAAAATGTTGAAACCACCATTTGTCTGTTGATTTGGCCAATCAGCGACAACGTCGTCTCAAAACAGATTTTATAACCACTTGGAAATCGAATATGCCATGGAAAACAATTTACATTTTTTTTCACTTCTAATTATCACGGACTTACTTAGTAACTTAGAATTATTTTGGCATATATTCCATGCCAATCAGCTTTAGCACCTTTCCCCATCTCATATAAAGCAAGTTACACGTATCTAAAATAGTTAAAAGTGGCTAATAATAATCTGTTATAATATCATATGTAGTTTGTAGATGGTTTTCAAAGAATAAATTATATCGCTTTATAGTGTTTTAATATGATCGCCACATATATCCAAGTTTTGTGGATTGTGTTTGGTGCTTGGCAGTTGGTGGTCACTGGGTGGCATTCCACGATCAGCGTATGAAAACTTGAATGACAGGTGGAGTTTAGGGCATGAAATTATTTTCACACATTGCTAATTGTTTGGTCCATCTATTAGTGTGCTTTGAATAGTTTCGAACAAACTTCAAATTCAGATTCAGGAA